ACCCTGGACACTTTGGGCTTGTTTCTTTTGTTGTTGCTGTGGATTGTTTTTTTGGTTGGGTTTGTGGTTTGGGTTTTTTTTTTTTTGTGTCTGTGTGTGTTTTGGGTTTTTGGAGATACAGTATCTAGATGTGTAACTTGTTCAAGGATGTTGCTTCAAGCTGTCTGGTCTTGAAATTGGTGCTGATGAAACTGCTGCTTATGGAGAAATGAGTCTGGGCCCATAACTACTTGTGAAATTTGGAGTTTGTATCTTGCCGTTCAAGATGCAAAATATTCCCTTAGTGTGCTTTACTAGGGCTCTTCAAAGTGAAAGCAGGTTATGTAGGTTAGGAAGGAGTGTCTCAAAACAACTCGGTGTAATTATATGTTCAGTTGAGGTAATTATTCTTTACAGTATGTTAGGGCACAGTGTAGACAACAAGATTGAAATGTTGCTTCCCTAAGGAAGACTGTGTTTTGTGGGGTTTGGGGTGGGTGGGGGGAGAGGTGTTTGGCTGTGACATAATGATTCTGTAGACACTAGTGTATGGACTACAAACATTGGCAATTTCAAGAGGGCCTTGGGTTTTCATTTCTCAGTCATTGGTTATTCTGTTATTAATTCTTCTTTGATCAGACTATCAGAGATATCTTCTCTCTATGTGTCTTTTTTTAATGCAAGTTGAGAAAATAGTCCCAGCAGAGATGTAAACAAATTCAGAAAACATCATCAGTTCCTAATATGTAAAGTATAATTATGTGCCTAATAAACTGTTCAAATGAACAACTAAGATGGTAAAATGGGATTGCTTACTCTGCACAGAAGAATGCTGTTGAGGAATGTTGTGAGCAAGAAAAATCCAGAGTAACCAGTAGCTGGAGTTCTTTATTTAGTAAAGAAGGTCTCAAGAATTAGGACTGTTGAGTGCGGTGATTAAGGCAACATCCTTCTGAGCTCAGAAGGAATGTTTTCTCTGCTCTCATATTAAGTATTTGTAAAGCCTGCTTCTATGCAGTTTCAGAAAAAGTCCTGCTTAGTGTGAAGTATGTTTACTGAAGGCAGAATATTTGGAAAAGCTGCTAAAATCTGAGAAGTCTGTACGGAGCACATGTGAACAGCAGCCTCCTATCTGTGTGCACCATCTCTCTTCCAGTCCTCCTCATACTTCACAGCCTTTCCTCTTGACAGAACTAGGGTAATCCTGTTTCAGGTCAGGAAATGTATTTGTCTAACATAAATGCTGATGTATGCTAAATTTCAGGCTTTGGCTTTCAGGTCTGTGGGTGCACAGTACAAAGAAAAAGTATCTGTCAGTTTGTGTATGATCTTGTTTTAACAAGTAAAATAGACTTCCCTTTTATCTTCCCTGAGTAGCAGAATGTTATTGTTAGGGGATTTTGAGGAGAGAAGGCTTTTGGCTAAATTGACATATTTACCCTGAAAAAGACACTTGACACTGCAAATTGCTGCTGAAAATAGTTGATTACAACTTAGACGTGATTGAGTAATAGCACTTCACAAGAAATGCTGGGCAGTCGTTAATTCTAATCCCCTCTAGAATACAGTCATCTGAGAGGATCCTAGAGCCATATTACAAGTAAAAGCTATATATAAGTGAATGAGTTGACAACTATTTTTTTTTTACCATTTTTGTTCTGATTCTACTTTTGCTTATAATGGAGTATGATAATATAATTCTATTCAAAGAATGGGATTAATCTGGTATCTTTTTCTTACCTGGCATTACAAACATCTGTTAATTACCAGCTTCTCATTGGTCATTCATTTTCATGCTGTTGCAACTGTTGGTGAATTTTGCATGCGAGTGCTTGAAGCATTTGTCAGTATGCGTTTTTGTTTTTTAAAAGCAGGTGTAAAGTAACTAGTGAATGTTCTTTCTACAGTGTTTGATTGTTTACAGAATGTTCTTTGTTTTAAAGATGGGGATACCAGCGCAACAGAGAGTGGTGATGAGGTTCCTGTGGAACTGTATACTGCTTTTCAGCATACACCAACTACAATTACTTTAACTGCTACAAGAGTTACAAAAGTCAATGATAAGAAAAGGAAAAAAAGTGGAGAGAAAGAACAGAACATAGCAAAATGTAAAAAAGTAAGTGAATGTAATTTTTTTTTTTTTTGGTAACTCTGTGTTATAAATTACAGTTGTGTGACATCTCTTACCAAGAGACACTGATTTTAGAAATCAGGCTGTTGTAACTAACAATATATTACTACCTGGGTTTAGCTTGAAGTATAATACTTGGCAGAAAATGATACAGTCTTCCCTGCCTCTTCCCCCACCCCGTGCCCTTAAGTTAGTATGTACTAGCTATGAAACCTCAATTTTATAATTGAGGCAGAATTTATAAGGAGGAGTTGCATTTGATGGACCACTTGATATCGTTACGAGTTGGGGCAGAACAAGCTCTGGATACCCAGAGAAGAATTCTGTGTCTGAAAGTCTTCAGTTGTGGTTGCTTCCAGTTCAGAAATGTTTGCTGTCAGTTGTCTTGATGTGACTTCATGTCCATTTATTTGAGTTGAACTTGTGTGGAAGTGTGCTATCAGAAATTAGCTACTAAACTACTTTAGTAAACAGGATATTGACATTATATTGTATAGCTACAGGTGTAAACAGTGTAACTTATGTGAAGACAAATAGAATATAAGTAAAGTAGTAAAGTACATGGAATTTCCTAAACCGATGACTTCCTCTCTGCAGTTCAGTTTCACTAGCTTGGGTGAGATTTTTGTCCTTTAAAACTTGAAGTCAGAATTAGTTATTGATATCTCTTCAGAAATCTTGAGTAAAATGTTTCCTTTTGAATGGATGGTTCTGAATATAAATTTACTACCACGTATTCTTCTGTTACTTCCCAACGTAGTGTGAGATGATTTAAAGAATGAGATTTTGTTGTAGCATGACAAACTACTTTCAAAAGTTAACGTTATAGGACATGTGTGACACCTGCTTCTCCTTCCCCAGTTTCAACAGTGTAGTGAAGGATGTGGGAATATACAGGTTTACCTGATAAGTATGGGGTGTTCTGTAAGTAACTTTTCAGTTACTTTGCTCTGAATTCTGAAATTCTGGAGAGTCGTGTTGTAATATGGGAGAAAGGTCAGAGCTAGTAGTTCAAGTACCCCTGCATCAACTATGCACTTGGGTTGGAATGCTGAGTTGGCTTTTAAAACATATTTTGTGAGACGTAACTTGTTGCCTTCTTGAGGTGTCGGCGTAGTTTGTTCTGTTGTCATCATCTTGCATGTTTCATTGAGAATGATCCACAGTGAAAAGCTATTAATTCATTAAGAGATTTTGTATTTCCTCTGAAGAATACAAACGTTTAACTGTTTCAGGCCTTTCGAGAAGGATCCAGGAAATCTTCACGAGTAAAGGTAACGTGATTTTGTTTGTTTTTTCTTTTAAATGTTGATTGTACGTTAGTTAAATTACATGAAATATCAGGAGTTGGGGCTACACATTAAGCACTAAAATACTCTTGGTAACTAATGTGCAACATATGCATCACAGTAATTTTAAGTTAATGTATAAGTATTGCATCTTTATGTCCTGCAAAGTTAACTGAAATAGTATAGTGTAAACTTTTATTCTGAGAATACTTGGTTTTCAAAAGCCAGTGGAGGAATTTGGGCTCATTTCTGCTGGGCAAGGGAGTAAAGTTGAGTGCATGCAGTAAAGAATGAAATGGCTATATTGTATCTGAAAGCTAAACCAGCAGTTCTGCTCTGTCATACCTTTGTGTATTCATCTGGTGGGACTCACTCACTAGTGCTGGCCTAGTTTAAGGAATTGTGTTGGGACTTCTGCTTTCTGAGATTTAAGTGTTAGAGCAGTCTTTTAAATTTTCTGTGAGATAAAAATATGCATGGTGTGAAAACTAGGTATTTCCCATAGTTTATTCATCCTTAGGATATATAAAAACAAGTGTGAGGCATTTTACACTTCAAATGTGTAAGATGTGAAGATAGGATTGGGGAAGAAAGCCTCTATTTTGTGCTTTTTGAATATGGGGTTTGTAAGGTTCCATTGTGTTTTTTCATGGCTTTTTTTAGCATCACATATTTTTTAATGTTGTTTTTGTGTATGGTTCTCTTGATGCACAAAAGAAATGTATGTAAACAGGTAAATTGAATTGCTGAACTACTTGCTGTTTTATTAATGTTTAGTAGTGTCTCTGCTCAGGTGGATGGAAAAGGGAGTGATGGTTTGTTGCAGCTTGGCTGCTGCTTGTAAGGTCTGGAGGTACAAGGAATGGCACTTCCTTCAAAAGTGAAAGGATCTGAAGCACTGCAGAACAAAATTGTTTAGTGAGGAGCAGATAAGGAGAGAAGAATGATCTGTGCAAAGCCTATAACATGAGAGTCACAATCTTAATATAGTAGGTGTAGGATTAGTGAAGTTCAGTAAGATGTGAAGTGGAAAAGATACAGCATGATGCTTGAAGCTGAAAGATCTGCCTGTTATGGGATGGAAGCTGGAGTTCTTTATATTTGCATATGTTCACAAAAGTTGAGTAGGCAGGGAGGTCTGACCCTCCCAACTCCTGCACTCAGATTCATGATGCAGTGCAGTTGTGGGAGGAAACAGTGTCAGTCTCCAGTCTCATCCCACTAAAAGCTAGAATCCCTGTTGAAGCGAGAAGGTATTCCCCAACTTAGGCAATATTTATGAAATGTTAAAATTCCTAAAAGGACAAATGTAATGCAACTGTATTCACTGGAATGCTTTTAGGTAATGCAGACTTTTATACTGGACTTCTTTAAAAAAAAAAAAAAAAAAAAAAAAGGCAAACCTTAAATCTATGGCATACATTTGCCCTTGTAGGCTTATTTTTTTAATTTGAATATCTCTTTCTTAGCTTGTAATATCTGGTCACTTACTTTAATTTTCAGGGCTCAGCTCCAGAGATTGATCCTACTGACAGTTCGAACTTTGGCTGGGAAACTAAAATCAAGGCATGGATGGATCGTTACGAAGAAGCAAATAATAACCAGTACAGTGAGGGTGTCCAGAGGGAGGCACAAAAAATAGCTCTGAGATTAGGCAATGGAAATGACAAAAAAGAAGTCCACACCAGCAATCTGATTTTCAAACCTCCAGTAGAGGTAATGATTCGTGCCATGTTGCGTTATTGCATGCTGGCTTTGTGCCGTGACAAAGATACCCAGTTAGATGCCTTTTTTAGGGAAAAAAAAAGAGGTGGTGGGGTGGGACACTTCGCATTCATTTTGTTGTCTCACCAGATCTAAGCATCAGGGTTATATTCATTTTTGTACATCCTGTATCGCCCCTGGCTATGTTTACACTTGCATATCAGTTCTCATAAAAAGACCTAAAGTGTTAGTCTGAGCCTGAACATTGGATTGTCCTTAGTCTGTCTTGTGGTGGACATAACAATGTAAACTTTGCTGATGTGTGAGGAGTCTCATAGTTACCTGCTATAACCATCTCAAGGGTGGTTGTAGTAGATACAAGTATTGAAGTTGGAGGCTGTTTGGTTTGGTTTTTTCCCCTGGTATGTGTATTAGCATGTTAATTGTCCACATTTCTCTTAAGATATCCTAAGTGTTCTGGATGTTTAGGTACTCAGAACAGAATTTAATTTGCTAGTTCATGAAGGATGTTTCTGATGGTAGGTGATATCCTCATACTGGTGGGGGTTTTTTGTTTGTTTGTTTTGTTTTTACTCTTGTGATCCTGTAATTTCTACTTTATGAAGAAACTGTGCAATGTCTTTTCCTATCTTTAACATCAGTTAATTATGATCTTAAAATCAGAATCATTTTACAGACCATAGCATTTTGTAGCAGAAGTCTTGAGGAGTAGTTACTGTAGCAGATTAATGGAAGCATCTTTGCTTCTTTTCCTCAAAGACCATCATGGCATATGGGGCACCCTCCTTAGAGGAATATCCCTGCTTACAGAGCCTTTTGCCTGCATAGAGGCTACTTCCTTTTTGATTGGCGATGACAGTTATGAGAGGTGTGAGTTCACTAATTGTCAGGGTATGTATTGGTTTTTAATTAAAAGCCATCCTTCTATCTAAAGATATGAAAATAAATTTGGAAACTCTCTCAGGATTCCGTTTTTTTATTATTTTGTTATTTGCCTGTTCTGTTTTTGCTTAAATAAATCACGAACATTCTTTTATGTCTGCATGTTTTGTTTGGTTTGAAGGAATTGAAGCCTTTTGAAAGTGTTACGCAAAACAGTGCAGCAATTCATCCTAGTAGTGGGGACAGTTAAATTCACTAAGGGATATAGTACTTGAGTTGTGACAACAGGAATGTGTTTGGTTTCAGCCATGTATTGGAGAACTAGGGCTAAAGCATTCCTTGAACTTAAATTCTAGTTACATAATTAGTTGTATTGGTAGGGGAACAGGACAGTTCAGTCTGGAGGTTTAATTACAAAAAGGAGGGTGTTTTAGTTCATACAGAATTGTTTAGTAGTTGTGAAAGTATAATCTATTAATAATAATGGAAAAATGATACTTCATACATTAACTTTTTATCTTTATAGAGTTACGTGCAAAAAAACAAGAAAATTTTAAAAGCTGCCAAAGACTTGCCTCCTGATGCACTTATTATTGAATACAGAGGGAAGTTCATGCTGAGGGAACAGTTTGAAGCTAATGGATATTTCTTTAAAAGGTTTGTTTATTACAAATGTTTTAATAAGGTAACTGTTAAAATGCTGTTTTGCTGAACTCTTGCCTCAAGTACAAGTGGGTCCTAAGTTATCAACAGTGTCTTGCATTTTACTGTTGGCTGATTGAAAATAATTGCGGATGGAATCTGGTCTCCCCCTTCTCTTCTGGATATCCTTACAGATCTGTTCAGGAGTTAGTTTTCTCTTTCTTTGTTCTTCCCCGGTTACAGGATTCCTGCATTCTCAGTTGGGTAGTTGTGCACCTTAAACCAGAGATTGGCAGGTTCTACCATCCTAAAATAATTCAGAAGGTAATGGCAAAGACATTCTCTTTCGTGAGATTTTAAGTCCACGAGGCTGAGAACGGAATTGGATGCAGGTCAGCTTGGGGCCATTTTACTGCCAGAGTTCTCTGGTTGGTTGAGTTACTGAGCAATGTATGACTGCTTCCTTCTTCCTGTGGATGATTTTCAGTGCTGCCATTAACTGCATGGACACGCCTGCCTGGGAAGTTGCAAGAGGCTTGTTGGAGGACAGAGCACAGCTTTTGCTCAGTAAAGATGGAAGGGTTCCCTGGCACTTGTCATGACAGAACTTAGTGTGCCTTGGCAAAGTATTGGGATGCCCCCTTCCTTCAGGAGGGTCAGGTGCGAGTGATACTGCAGGTGTTAGGCAGGGATGTGGAGATGTTACTTTCTTCTATTTTTTTTCAGATGATTCTATGAGGCATTTGAATTTCTATGTGAGTTTCACTTTGGGACTCGTCGTAAGAAAAGTTTAAGAAAGATGAAGAATCTTAACCTTATGTTTTCCATGTCGAGGGCTTGCCCTGCTACTGTTCCTCCCCTTAGATCCTGTGCAGAAGAATTGAATTTTAATTAAATTAAATTCAAACTTCTGGTATTCTGAGAACACATTTGGAGAATGTACCATTTAGAATCATGAGGCTTAAATGCAAACGTGTCATTCTCAGGTTAACCCACAAATTTGGTCTGTTGTGCCAAACACCATGTTACAAAGCTAAGCAATGTGAAGAATAAGTGATACTTAGCATCTTTAAAAATGATAAAACTCTGGTTTGCTTGTATGTTTTTCAGGCCATACCCATTTGTTTTGTTTTATTCCAAATTCCATGGGCTAGAAATGTGTGTTGATGCAAGGACTTTCGGAAATGAAGCTCGATTCATCAGGCGTTCATGTACACCAAATGCGGAGGTGAGTGTATATAAAGTTAAGTTAGGTTTTATTTACTTAGAAGTCCCTTTTTCCTTAAGTTTTCCAACAGATAATTTGAGCAATCCCTAAAATTTTTATACAGGTACTTTTTTTTTTTTTTTTAAAAAAAAAAAAAAAAAGGGGGGGGGGGCAAGAAAAAACCCCACCAAGACCCAAATTAATTAATGGTAATATAATAATGTTCTTATTGTGGAATATTGTGTCCAGTTCTGGGCCCCTCAGTTCAAGAAGGACAGGGAGCTGCTTGGAAGAGGCCAGCACAGAGCCACAGAGATGATTAAGTGGGTGGAACATCTCCCTTAGGATGAAAGGCTGAGGGAGCTGGGTCTCTTTAGCTTGGGGAAGAGGAGACTGAGGGATGACCTCATTAATGTTTATAAATATGTAAAGGGCGAGTGTCAGGAGGATGGAGCCGGGCTCTTCTCGGTGATGGCCAATGACAGGACAAGGGGCAAAGGGTGCAAGCTGGAGCACAGGAGGTTCCACATTAACATAAGGGAAAATTTTCACTGTGAGGGTGACAGAGCACTGGAACAGGCTGCCCAGGGAGGTTGTGGAGTCTCCTCTGGAGACATTCAAAACCCACCTGGATGTGATCCTGTGTGATCTGCTCTAGGTGGTGCTGCTTTGGCAGGGGGGTTGGACTAGGTGATCTTTTGAGGTTCCTCCCAATCCCTAACATTCTGTGACTCTTTTGAATATAGGTGAGGCATGTAATTGAAGATGGAACAATTCATCTTTATATTTACTCCATCCATAACATTCCAAAGGGAGCAGAGATTACTATAGCGTTTGATTTTGATTATGGAAATTGGTAAGTATTTGAGCATGCTATTCTAAAATACATCTATGCTTTTTAAGCTACTGTGATTCAGAGTGGCTTTTTTTTATATCACTTACTTTCCTGTGTGCTTTGATAACAGAGGGCTCCTTAAGCACTGCATTTACAATGGACAGTGTGTGTGCGGGCAGGGTTTCTTCTGTATTTTTATTAATGCCTATCTGTTGCTGACTTCAGCAACGTTTTAGTTACTTACGAATAATGTGGAAGAGATACAAACTTAGGTGAATATGAATAAATATGTACTATGAAAATTTATTGTATATAGGTGTCCTGTAGTGTGGGGAGAGTAGATGGAAGAAAATCTAGAACTATTGGGTAATGCCCTATTTATTTCAGAGTGTCTCTATAGGATGACTTCAGGAAGACTGTGTCTGCAATTTAGTTATAAATCATGTTTGTTTAATATGTGAGTAAGAATGTTCAAATATACTGATTGCTTAGTGCCTTAGGTTCTGTAACGTATTACACATTTTCCTGAACGTAACTGCTGCTCCTTTGATGAACTGGCAAAAGCTCTAATAAACTGTTGCCAGTGTCTGTAAGCGTTGTTTTGAAATGGTAAAGGAAATAATTGGTTAAGTTCCATTCACATATGTAGGAACTGTTATTCAAACACTTATTTGAAATCTGATGGCAAAATAAGGCCTTTGAGTGATACAATCTAGTAATGATTTCTCTTGGCTAGTAGGAAATGTTCTGGGGTGTAGGTATGTTGTGCAGGAACGCCTAGGCTAATACTGACCTTGGGAGCTGAAGCATTGAAGAGCCTGTTTCTATAGGTGCACTTGGTCGGGTCCAGAAGCAGTCCAACTGTTTCACCTTTTGCTACACCAAGGTAATACATTTTTCTGTGGTCTGCTCATAGGTCAGCTTGGGTGCAGTGCTGTGCAGACGTGCCTTCACTGCTTCTGGACCTGAACTAGTTACGTCCATGGAGTACTTACTACCTGTGTTAACCAGCTTGGGTTCAGACTACCTCAGGGTGCCTTGCACTGCTAAGTGTTGTAGATGTACTCCTGCATCCCTCACATGAAGACAGCCTGTGAAATTGCCTGGTTGATGGGGTTTTGGGGTTTTGTTATTTATCCTTTTAGAAGTATGTAGTAGTTGTGGTTTAGTACCTGCAGCTGACAGCCTGTGTAAGTTGAATATGTTTGAGTAACTGTTCCTACGTATCTTAGTGGAACTTAAAGTTGTACAAAGTGACTCCAAGTTCTTTCCAGTGTCCTTTTTCTTTAAATTGTGTTTACTGTCTTTGTGTAAAGCCAGAACTCTGCCTTCCTTGTGTCTGCTAATATCTTTAATATAGTGGTTATATTTCCACCCAGGATATACTCAGGTTTTGCATGTCTTCCATCGTTTAAGTGAATACTAACCTTGAATTTAAAAGAATTCCATGTGGCAAACAGCCACAAATTCTGTTAACTAGTAGGTGAGATTTTTTTGAATTACAGCAATATTGTATATCTCGGTGAAAACTTGAGTCAACTGCTTTTAATGTGGTTGGTTTGCATCATAGCAGATGTTTAATGTGAAACATGTATCAGCTTGTATGATTTAGTATTGAAAAGTCTCAGTGCTGTACAGCCTAATCAAAATACACCTTCTTGCATTTAATTACTTTTAGTAAATACAAAGTGGATTGTGCCTGCCTCAAAGAAAATCCTGAATGTCCAGTTCTCAGACGTTCTGAGCCTACAGAAAACATCAATACTGGATATGAAACCAGAAGGAAAAAGGGAAAGAAAGAGAAGGATGTTTCAAGAGAGAAGGAGACTCAAAATCAGAACATCACATTGGACTGTGAAGGAGCAGCCACCAAAATGAAAATCGCAGATAATAAACAAAGGAAGCTTTCTCCCCTCAGGCTGTCCATTTCTAATAATCAGGTATTGACATCAGGTGATCGGAAAGAAAAGCTTTTAAACACAAATACTCTCCTTTTGTAGTTACTAGAGGAATTTTAACAAGTCACTGAAAAAGGGCTATGTGGATATGTCAAAAATCATAATGATGGATAAGCTGTTTAGAATTTTTTAAACTATTCTCAGTTTTCCTTAATATTTGATTGTATTTAAAGATACGTTGGTTCCCGTACCAGTTTTAACTATACATTTTTCCTCTGAATTTCTTTGTAGATCTCTAATGTGAAAGCCTCATGTCATGCTTTCAGGAACTCCCAGTCCACCCTGAAGTGTCTTTTGGTTAGTTGCATATGTTATTCAGGAGCATAGTATTTTAACCATAGCAATGAGTAGCCCTGCTCCTGTAACAAATAAAAACTCAACCCAGAACATGAAGTGTTGGCTGCAGCTCTATTAGAGTTTGGGGGAGTTGGGGAGTCAGGAGGAGGAAGGTGTGTTTTAAAGCTAAATGCTGGCTAATAGGTGGTTAGTGTTGGTAAAGCTACCTGGTAATGTACAAAGTAGCCAGTTTTAAATTAGCCTTTCTTTTAATATGTCAGTTTGAAAGAACTAGTGGTGGGAGAGAGCCGTGAGATAATAATTAACTTAATTTTGCAGAGCAGCTGTTAAATATCAATATTTAACATGAGTTTTCTTTCTTTTTGGGGTGCTGGTGGTTTTCTTTTTTTTTTTATATGATGGTTTTTGATGATGATTTAGGGGCAGAGATAAAAGTGGGAGGGAGCCATTTCCTAGTTCTTTTAACGTCACTTAGGAGTGAAGGAAGTAAGGTAAAAATGAGCATATTGACCCCCAGTTTCCATAAGATAATCAAATTGTTCTGGGGTTTTATTGGTTGAATAGCTTGGAAGTCCAGAAGGCATGGCATGTGACTGTTACAAATTACGATCTCCAGAGAGGCAACAATTAAACTTTCTCATCTTACGTGATTTTTTTATGTGTGTGCGTTTTGTTTTTAACAAGTGGTAACTGGTATTTGGAACCTTCTCCTGAGCTTTAACATAATATACAGTGTTTATATAGAATAGTCACAGGAGAGCTTGTCTTGTTTTCCAGAACGGAGTTGAATGGTAGGAATTGTGAGAATAAAGCTGTTAAAACACGTGTGTAAATTCAGAAGCCAGTCAGTTAATAGCTTTTTTTTTTTCTTGGGGTGAAATATATAATGCTAAGATAAAGAAAGTGTATGGGAAAATGTAGATGTACTTTTAAGACAAATGTTAAAAAAACCTTTGTCTGGTCTTTCGTGTAAAAGTGAAATTGTGTATAGGACTTATCTCTTAAAAGTTACTGTTTCATGCTTGGGGGATTGTGTGGGGTGGTTTTTTTTTTCTTCTCCCAAAGCAGAAACCCTTTATTAGTTTGCTAACTCTTGTGTTTCTTTATGGTATGGCACTGTCATTAGATTCTGTAGTGAGTGTAAAATGTGATTCTAATAGAATACACTTTCAAGCTGAGAAGAGCTTCTATGTAATTGTATTAACGTTCTTTTGACTTACTATTTCACCAAAATTAATACTTTTTTTTTTTTTAGTGGGTGTGTACTGTAAAGCTCCTAATTCTTTTAAGTGGTTATAAAGTGGCTAGATCAGTGGCCAGTGTTACTGCCCGAAAGTTTCTATTGGTTTAGAGGTTTAATTCTGATACTTTTATTTTTTGGTTGGTGGGGTGGGGGAGTGGGGATGGAACCTCAAAGTTTCAGTAAGATCGGTGTGCTAAAGAGAAAAGATACAGATGTGTCTTAGCTAAGAATGGAAAAGATCTAGTCAGGTGATTCTGTTTACAGGTTTATAGAAAGGTACAAGTGTATATTAGTGGGTTTTACATTTTTGTCTTGATTTATTGGCTTGGTTACTTTTGATGTAGTGATCTGAGGATTCTTAGTTCTGTGAAGCTTTTAGTTTTCCCTAGTTTGCAAGAGTAGTAGAGCTTCTGTAAAGCAGTCATTTCCATCTTTCAGGAGCCAGATTTTATTGATGATATAGAAGAAAAAACTCCCATTAGCAATGAAGTAGAAATGGAATCAGAAGAGCAGATTGCAGAAAGGAAAAGGAAGATGGTAAGTTGGGAAGCAAGTGGCTACCTAAAGTCGTCACTAAGGCTTAGTGACACCTGCTCTTCCCATGCTAATTGCTGTCTTTCTGTAGGCTTGTAGAATCAGTATATATGAGGTCAGATCTTTACATGAACTTCAACTTGAAATGCAGGGATTGCTATTTGAGACTGTTTCATCTAGCTTGATGATTGCTTTCTGATAAAAACCTGCTCTTACTGTCAAATGTATATAATTTTATTGCCTTTAAAAAAACACATTGTAGAAGTTATCTAGATCTAATTTTTGTTATGCTCTATTATTGCTTATTATTTGTATTTTTATAGATAGTATTGGGAGTCAGGTTTCCTGCCTAATTTTTTTTTTTTTTTTTTGAGTTCCCAACTTATAAAGCCTCAGGCTAATTTTCAGAAGTTGGTAGAACAGTGTTATGAAAACTGGAATTTTAAAATGTGCTTTTTTGGTTAGATATTCAAAATGTGAGGTACTTGAAATTACTAATTAAATCAAAATCTTGGCCAAGTTGTATAATGAAATACTAGTATTTGGAACTTTCATTTTATTGTTCTTGCTCACAGAACTTCTAATAAGTGGAGTTCAAGGTGCAGCAATACTATCTGCGTCTGCCCAGACCTTAAAATAATACATTCCTCTTGGTCAGTATTTCTTACAGCTGTCAGAAGCAACACTGATGAGACTTGTGTTTATTAGACATCAGAAAGCAAAATCTGCTTAAGTAAAATATGTATTTTAATATGAAATCTGAAGAATGACAGCATGAGTTCTGATATTAACATACAACAGTGTCTTGTCATGCTTTTGAGGAACAGTTCTCATCACTGTTGGATGTACTGCTTTTGCTCCAGAGGATGTGCTGCCCTTTTTTTTTTTTTTTTTTTTTTTTCTTTTGGCTACATTTCTTGGCACTTCACATTTGTATTCTTAGTAGAGCAAAGCTCTCTGTGAAACTTGGTTACAGCAGAGTTGCTGTAGTAGTGAAAGATGTAATTATTACTCCAGCTCCCTTATGAGGATTGCAAATAACTGCATTGCCTGCGTTTTACCAAGCCAACAGAGGCAGGTTCAGTGGCAAAACAAAACTGGGTTCCTCATTCACTCATGAGCAATATATTTGCAGGTACTCTTTTCTTTGCTATAAACGTGGTTGTTATCAATGCACTGTTAAGCCACAGGCATTTGTTAAAAAAAAAAAGTTTGTGATAGAAGCCCCCAATTCTGCCACCTCTCTGTTGTCTTGAGCAGGACTGTGCAGGTGAAGGGATCTGCCTCTGTACAGCACTAGAACCTGAATTACTGATAAGACAGAAAATTTAGCTTCTCTGTGACCTCATGTTATCTTATTTTGAATTAATGATGTTTGGATGTTGATTGTATGTTTTGATGTCATTTTTGACACTTGGAAAATTGGGTCAGAGCTTTCTGTTGTTGTTTCACATACATATTGGTATTTCATATCTTTCTAGTCATTACTGTTTCCTTGATTTTAAATACTAAACATGCAAGTAAGTGGCTCAGAGCTATGTGTTGTTTTTATGCTTATAGGCCAGTGATTTACTAGGAAATTACTATTTTTAGCAAGTTCTTAAATCCAAAGCAGGACTTTCTTCTTGTTGTCAGGGTTGGTATGAATGCAGGCCTTTCTTCAGAAGTCCATACTAATTGCACTCATTGTAATAGCTCCCTTTCCTCTGAGCTTCTGCTGAAATTGATCTCCACGTCAACATACGCTGAACATGTTCTGAAGTACTTTAAAAAAGTGTGTATTTACATATGCAAAAGATTATGACTGAAACTTGATCGTGATTATTATTAAACCCATCAGACAAGAGAAGAACGGAAAATGGAAGCTATCCTGCAAGCTTTTGCCAGACTAGAAAAAAGAGAAAAAAGAAGAGAACAGGCTTTGGAAAGAATCAGCACAGCAAAAACTGAGGTTAAATCAGAATGCAAGGAAGCACAGATTCTCAATGACACTGAATTTATTCAGGTAGCTATCTGGAACTTTATTTTAAAGCTAGCTTTTAACATATATATTTTATTGGTTTGGATGTCAAGCTGCACTTCCAAGATGTTTTGTTTTTTTTTTTTTTCCTCTGAACTCAAGTATATTTGACCAAAAATCTGTATAGTTCTTTGACATTATGTTAGCTTCTGATTTAATTTTTTTCAAGAAAATATGTATAGAATTTGTTTATGAAGAATTTCAGTTACATTAGTTTATGCAAATGTTCACACACATACCAGCTGTGTAATTCAGTCTGCTTGGAAATTCAGGGTAGGAGATGTTTACCTATTCTGACTTCAGTCCCAGGAGGTGGCTTTCCTTAGGCACCCTCTGTAACCAGTGGAGAAAAACTTACTGCTTCGGGAACATTATTATAATCCTTTATTTTCTCTTAAAGGAAAGGAATTACCAAGGCATAGTTTGTTCTGAGTTCTTGCGGGTGATACTTAATGTTTCATAAACAATTTTATACCGTGTTGATGCTGGATGCTAGTATGCTTCTTACCTTGCAAATACTCCTGCGGATTCTCAGTTCAGATTGTTGGCCTGGGTGATTTCCGTCAGCATGCTGTTAAGTACCTTTTGTGACAATGCTAAACACTTAGTAAATTATAAATTACAGAAAGGATATTGGACTGAAAGACATTGCGATGTCAGCAGTAAGATTTCTAGCTTATGGGTGAATGAGTGCGGTATGGCAGTTCTTACACAAACCTGTGGTGATTTGACCGGTGCCTGGTGTGTGTGAATACTCTGCCAGTGATAGAGCAGGTGCTTGGGAGGAAAATACAAGAAATCTTGTTGTTTGCCTTGAAGAAGGACAGAAATATTATCCCTGAAATACTGTAGTTCTAACAACAAAAATGAGATCCGGTAAAGGGAGCTGACATTTTGTTTTAAGATACCTAGCTTTGCATGTGTTTAGGATCTGTTTACTGGACTTCTGTTTTGTACTAGGAACCAGCAAAAGAAGAAACTGCCACCAAGCCTACCCCAGCCAAAGTTAATAGAGCTAAGCAGAGAAAAAGCTTCTCGCGGAGTAGAACTCACATTGGACAACAACGTAGACGACACAGAACTGTCAGCATGTGTTCAGATATCCAGCCGTCTTCTCCTGACGTGGAAGTAACTGCACAACATAATGAAACTGAGAATGCTGCACTGGTAGCTGAGCCTGAAACAGAAACTGTGGTTGCAGAAATGGTTGCTGAAACAGAAGCTCAAGCACTTAATAAATGCCCTACTAAGTATCCTAAAACAAAGAAGGTATGTCCCTTTAGGGATGAGGGAGAAGAGGGTGGACTTCAACAGAGTTTTAAAAATATCATAGGCTGCGGCATCAGTGTGCAACTATATATAGTTTTTTTTTTAAAAAAAACGTTGACTCATTTCCTTTAAAATTACCATTACATAGGAACTCACTGGTCATAAATTAAGAGATTAAAAAAAGATATGTGTAACATCCTTTGGTAGAAGTTCTTTTGGATTTTAAGAGACTTACAAAATACATATTTCAGAACAATTTTGGAACAGATGTTTTCTAAGGGAAGTACTTTGTAAATGGACCAAAATAATGTACATAACCAAAACATAATGAAACTGTTAATTTAAAAAGAAAAGCAATGGAAGTTTCATTTCCTTCCTTTGTTCATCATATGCTTTAGAAAGTATTTTAATGGTAGCAAGCAGAATATCTCAAGGAAATCATTAACTTCTAGTATTTCTGAGATGTCTGTTCTGAAGTGAATGGATTTAAACACTCAAATTTCTGTGTATGTTTGGAGGGGAGATTCTTTACTCTCTTTAGTGCTTTTGTTTTTAATTTTTTTTTTGGACTGCATTGCAAAAAACTTGAATAAATGCCACAATATTTAAAGACAGTTGAAAAATACTAAATCTGCACGTGTGAATAAAGCATTAAAACTTTCTGCTTTAAAATTCTACAGACTGTTAAAAAGTGCCTTTTTTCCAGTGTGTTTTAGAAGTTGGCTCTGAACATTTTATTTGGTGGAAGAGAAGGGGGAGGAGGTCATAGGTTGAAACTCCTTGTCAAATGACCAGTAACAACTTCAAGGTGGTTTTATCTTAAACCCGCAAGCATGCTCAACTCTTCCCCTGCTCCCCCCCGCGCAAAGGCACCTGAGTCATCCTGTAACAGTGCTTTTATTGCACCACTGTTCAGTTCTGGTCACACGGGAGACTAGAATCTTTCTTCCTCTTCAACGTATTGCGTAGCAAAAAGGAAAGAAGATACCTGAGAAATCGGAATTGTACTGCGCTTTCTTGCTGTTTCATAGTATTAAGATAAATGTCGGTGAAACATCTCATTGCATTGTACCCAGGGTACCTTAAGTGAGGGGAAAGTTGTGCTTTTAAAGTGAATTATAAGTAAGTTTGTAGAAGACAGGCGACTTAAATATGTTATGATCACCTTTGTTAAAGCCTTAATATATTAGTAATATTTAGTGTGCTATTTTTGCATATCATTAACTTTGAACCATTGTAAAATTCAGGCAGTTGGTTATCTGTTAATGGGGACTAAAATCCCCTGGCACGTTTTTCAAAAACACTGAACTAGCTAGGAGAGAATACCCTTTTTTAACACGTGTGCCTTAGTAAATATGTTGTCATTTAATACAGCTACAATAGTGAAGCATGTTCAAGGCACCTGCCTGACATGTTGACTGAAGGACAGTCCTGACAGTACAGAAATCTGATGATGAGTTTACTTCATTCTGGTAACGTTACACTATTTCCCCTCAGCTTATGTGCTCAAACACAAGTTTAAAATTTGTCTTGGAAATCTGTTCCTAAATTCAGATCATAAGTACAGTTGATCTGGGTGCTCGTATAGTACATTCAGTGAGAATTAAATACAAAAGAACTAAATGCTGGTGTAGGAAAAAAAACAAAACCCAAAAAGCAAAACCCCCAAAACTTTGGTATGTAGAACAAATCTATGCTGATTCCTTCTGGTGTCCCCATTATGTCACTAAAACTGTCCTTATTCTTGCCCTGTGTATTCGTAAATTTGCAGCTTGGAAACTAGCTGTTCCTGCTTTGCCTAACAGTTGGTGAGGTGAATGATTAGACTGAAAAATTTCTAAAAGCCACTGATAAAAACACTCATAAATCACCATTTTTTTCTCTCTCTGTTTAGCACTTGGTCAGTGAATGGTTAAGTGAAAAGAGTGATAAAACAGGGAAGCCTACAGACAGTCTATCGGAAAGGCCGCTACGTATAACTACCGACCCTGAAGTTCTGGCCACTCAGCTGAATTCTTTACCAGGTCTCACTTACAGTCCACATGTATACTCGACTCCAAAGCACTATATTCGTTTTACTTCACCATTCCTTTCAGAAAAGAGGAGGAAAAAAGAACCTGTGGAAAACATTACTGGCTCTTGTAAGAAGGTAATGCTTCCCTCCTTATGGTTCCCATCCCATATTAATTAAAAATAAGGGGGTTTTTGCTAGCATGAACCAGAAAAAAAGCTGGTTGGCAAACCAGCTCTGTTGTGTGTAACGTGTTTTGAAATTTTATCATTAAACTGTTAACTCACTCACTAATTTGAACTTGTTTCATTACAGCGTTGGTTAAAGCAGGCTTTGGAAGAAGAAAATTCAACAGTGATTGATAGGTTTAATTCACCATCACAAGAGAGATCTAGAAGTCCAGCCATCAATGGTGAAAATAAAAGTCCTTTGTTACTGAATGACAGCTGCTCCTTAACAGGTGAGGCTTTTACTGATACAGTATGTGAGAGCTGTTTCAAAGTAGTTAAATGTGGAGGACTGCGGTTTTTAAAATAATGAGTTAATGAAAATTCCGGGGCTGTTTTGCACTGTTTCCTGATACTTTCTTTAAACGAAATGCTTAGTTGCATAGTGGTTGGGATTTTTTCCCCATTTACTGTAACTGTTGTATCTCAGTGTTTACAGTCAACAAAAGACCAGTGTTTTTGATTATGACTGTGAAGTAATTTTCCATGCTGTTCTATATATTCATAATTCCTTTAAATTCGGTGGGCCTGTGTGGCATACAGCGGAAAAGCTGTGTAATCTTGTAGGCATAATACAGAGTGAGAACATGCTAAAAACCAAACACGCTTCCGTCCTTACGGAAGCGCATATGGAGCGTATTGGGTCCTTCCTCTGTACAGTCCTGAACTTGGAATTTCCACTTCTTAGCTGAACAGTCTTAAAAATGCATGGAAGTGGACTTTCCCTTTTCTGGAAGCATAGACGTTTCTTCCCATCACCCTAGCACACAAATTTCAGTTACTGGTGTGTCTATAGGCTGTTCATTAATTTTTTTTCAGGAGCTCTGTAGGCTGTTCAGAGCCTGGGGAAGCCTGCCCTTCAGAGGTTTTTGTAGTCTCAGACACTTTTTTAATGTGGAGTTAATAATTCCATTACATCAAATACTTAAGCGACTGTAAGCAGTTACTAGGTCTAGACTTTTCCTAGCTTTTTTTTCTAATTTTAACACGCAGATCTAACCACGCCACTAAAAAAACGAAGACTGTATCAGCTGCTGGAGTCTGCATTCTCTGAAACCTCCACACCTACTCCTTCTCCATATGCCACACCAACTCACGCGGACATTGCTGCCTCCGAGCCATCGTTGTTTGCTACTCCTCCCAGGGTAAAAACCGAAGATGAAGCTTGTAGAAATGGTTACAAACCCATATATTCACCTGTTACTCCTGTAACTCCATGTATCCACGGAAATACCATGCACTTTGAGGTGAGATTCTGAGTGAGTTTCAGTGCATTCAGAGAGTGTGTTTGGACATGGTGGTGATCAGTGTCTGTACTCCTGCGACAAGGGGGTGGTTTACCTTTCTCCAGGCTACAAGAGAAATTGACTTGAAATTTCTTCTTGTTTATTTAGAATATTTCCTCACCTGACAGTTCCCCAGAAACAAAAAGGCGAGCTTATAGTCAAGAGGTAAGGATATTTGCCAAAAACTGCAAATGATACCTTGATGTCACCTGTGTGGCTGCACTGTTCTTGGCAAGTGCTTTTCACCGGCCATTGCCGCTTTTCCTGGCACGGGAAGGGTCACTTCCCTACAGGCTTTATGTCCTTATCACTGTGTATTCCCACTTACCTGTTTCGTTGTCTGTTTGAATTGGTTTCTCTCCCCTCTTCCTCTGTATCACTTAAAAGCCTGGGGGGCTGTCGGGGAAGGGAGTAGTGGCCGCTGTTTAGATGCGAGCACACGGCCACCGCTTGTGCCC